TTGGGTTACCTCTTACCTTCTATTATAATGTCAAAGTTTGAAGGAAATGCCCAAATTAATCTAAAATACTTCTAATGTAGTTGCCTGTCATTGTGGTGTTATAACTTCTCTGTAAAAGCCACTTCACCCTTAAGTGGTAATTCTCTAGATACACCGATCTCTTCAATACATAATAGTAATAACAAAAAAAAAAAGTATCTGTTGTGCTATTTACTTAGTGTTCAAAGCCACTGTGAAATATATGACAATGCAAAATAGAAGGGAAGTTTGGAATTATACATAAACTACCAAATACTTGAAAGGGAAGTTTTTTTCTTTACTAATTTTAGATACTTTTACAAATACACGTTTTCTGGAGAGAAATATATATGCATATTTCTTCTTATTTGACTAATATTTCAAGAAATGCGCTAGCTGATGTAATTTTCCAAAAGACAGGAATGTTATCTTTAATGAGAACTCTGAGCCTGTTAAGAAGTAAATGACTGCTTCCAGCCCTTACCTCCGGAGAATTGCTTTTTTTTTTGTCCGCTTTTAGTCTTAAATCTAGAAAGAAAGATATCTTGTAATCTTTGTAAGTAAGGCTTTTCACATGGTTTGCTACAGTTGTTCAAATCCAGACCAGTTGAGTTTTGACTGAAAATCATTGCAAACTGATAGCTGTTTTGTGCTGAAAAAGAAATTAGTTGGTGATGTAAATCCCATTTCCAGTGGCTGGGTGGCAACAGTAGGAAACTCCAAGCTCAAAATCAGCACTAACACAACAGCTTCTTTAAGACTTGCATTGAGGGTAGTTTTGATGCTTTTCGAGATAAATTTTGTTGCTTTTTTTTTCAGTAAGAGCACAGGACATACTTCCTGATATGTATTGGGTTATTTTGAAAGTGAATGTTAAAATAGGACCACGTATGGTCTGTGCTCTTGTTCTGAACGCTTACTTTGATGAACTTTATTTTCTTCTATTGAGTGTAGGAGCTGAATAAGGTCCATTCCTTCAATTTTTTTGAGATCTGTGGCTCAAAAACTTGTTTGCATTGCTGTTCAGTAACAGTAAAACATGCACTCATGCTTAGCATGCTGATCAAGACCGAAAGACCGGAGCTGCTTGCACACGGCCTTGGAGCTGTATTGTTTTAAACAGTGGGACCATAGTTGGGACAAATGGGTCAGACCTGATGTTCGCGGGGTGGATAGTTGAACAGTGGTGAAGAACAGGTGCCTGGGATCAGCATAAATACATGGCAACTGTGGAGTGATATTTCGTGGCTGATAGAAATAGTCATTCTGGGATTTTCTGAACCAAAAAGCGTATCTTCATGCTTTAATAACTCTTGATGATGGATGCCAGTTTTCCTGCTGTGAATTTTTTGTTCCCTTGATCATGTGATAAGATGTACAAGTTCATCATGAAACATTCAAATAGGTGTTTCCTTTTGAACTTACTCTCTGCTGGTATTGCTTAATGCCTCTGTCAGTTATTCTTTCCTTGTTTTTTCTGAAATCCGTTGCTCTGGGCAAAGGCCCAGGATTGTTTCAAATTTGCAAGAGAGCAGTAGTTTTCAAATGGATGGAGAAATCTTGATTGAATACAACGGAAAACATAATCAGGGTTTTGGTCAGGAGGGCTGTAGCCCGTATTGCTGAGAGTAGAATAGAAAATGGAAAGAAGCAAGGGGTGTATGTTCTCACCATAGCGTGTAGGAGCAGGAGAACTGCTGAGAGCGGGTGCCAAGGGAATCTGAATGCTGGGAAATAGTGTTGTGATCTCTTAGCTGCTCACTAGTAGTGTGTACCTTGTTGAGATGCAGGGAGATGGCTCTGTCTCCCTTTCCTCCTTTCTGAACCTCTTTCTGTACCTTTTCTCTGACATATCTTTGACCCCATCACATTGCTTTCTCTCATTGCTGCATCCCCTGCCCCTGATAGTTCCAGTGGTGGAATACTAGGTTGGTTCAAAGGCAGTTTTTCTCTAAAAATATTGTATTACTTTTTTGGTTCTTCTGTTGTATAACATGCCTCTTTATACTGTGACCAGGCTTTCTATGTTGGTAGTATCTTGTGGCAAGAACAGATTCTGTGTTGTGTCAACTGTACAACTATCAGAAAACTATCTGGAAACTAACTTGTCAAACACAATGGTAACCTCTGTTTAATTGGTCACTTTTATGGTCATGTTGCTTCAATCTCTTCTAGTACAAAATGCTAAACTTAGTCTGGTATATTTTAATAAATTAAAATGTAGTGCTGCAGTGGCTTTTCCTGGAACTAGATGGAAAAGTTTTGAAGCTTGCAACAGAATACATTGCAGGTTTGAATTGGTCCAGTCTGATAATGCCCTAAATGTGTATTTCTAGGAGGATGCTTCTCTGTTTCTGCCTGGCACTCCAGAGCAATGAATAAAGGAGGCTGATATCTGTAGACCTTTTACAGAGTCTTGACATTCAAACTCAGTGCATCTAGCTCATTAGCACAGTTCACATTCCCTGTGCATTGGGAAATGATCTTCCACAAAGTGTAAAGACACCAATTGGCTTCATAGCTCTCTCATGGTATAGTGCTAGAGCTTTTGTATGAATTATAACAACTATTCCAGATTTCTGATCAGCGGAATTAATTTATTCCTGTGTCAGATTGCTTGAAGTTTCTGTCCCTAATTGTGTTGAAAAGGGTACAAAAGCCTTTGTGCAGGATAACTGTAAATTTTCTTTAAATAGTTACCTCTTGGCACCTAAAGGCAGTTTGTTTGCAAAATAGTTGATGCATGTTGGTGGATAACATGGAAATAAGTTTTCCCCTATTATGTGTGATTTTTTTTTTTCTTTGGATAGAATATATTTTTTGTGCACTGTTTTACAGAGGAGGTTAGCAGAATAATTGGTCTTGTGCTCTCTAAATGCTTCTAGAGCTGATGAGGAGGTTGAGGAGCTTGGGATGAGAAGGAGTATTTGTGTGATTTGTCCAGGAATGCAGGTTGACTAATCAGTAGATACCATCATTGATTTTGAAAATTGCATTCTGTTAATTAATATACATATATAATTAATCACCCTTTAAGCCATAAATTTGAAATTCAAAAGTCACAAATAATTTTCAGTATGATTTGTATTAGATGGTTCTCCATTTAAATGGGAAACTGGGATATGTTCCATTAAATTCACTGGCTGCACCATTTAAAAAAAAAACAACCCAACAAAAAAACAACCACAAACCAATCCAAAACCACACACCTGTTTTTATTATTTTTAACTTCTCGTGGGAAGCAAAACCTCAGCAATATGCCTCTTTTTTTTTTTTTTTTTTTTTTCCTTTTTTATTGCCAGGAAGCTGGTGCTATGCAGGTTACCAAGTGGAAAAGGAAGTGCTTTGTTGATTGTTTTTAATACTCTTTCCACCTGTGTTTCTGATGCTGTGATTTTAATTTATGTGGCTGCTGACTCTTAATGAAGTTTGTAAGAATTTAGTTTTAAATTTTTATGCCTCGTGACCAGTTAGTTCCAAAGTCTTTGTAATGAGACTGGAGGAAGGGATGGAAGCCGGAACACGATGGAGTCAGAATAATCTGTGCCTGATTTTTCTCAGGAAACACCATTAAACTAAAGCTTGGAAATTTTGCTTGAGTAAGGAATGTTCAAAATGAGCCTTGAAGAAACCTAAACAGTGCTAATGGCTCCTTGAGTTTCTCTACATTTCATGAGAGCTTGATCACTTCTCAGAAAGATGGCTTACCAAAACTTAATGTAAAGAGAAATTGAAGAGCTGATAGGTATGTAATTAGAAAACTGAGGCTAAAATAGGACGAGCTTCTATCACATTTTACTTCTGATAAGTTTTTATTTCTCAATCTTGTGTGTGGGAGTGAGTCTTCTGTAGGCCAGTTGATTTGAATAGTTATGAGGATAGTAGTAGACCTCTTAAAAGTACAGTAATGCAAGTAGGAGCATTAAAACAAAATATTATGACTGTGAATTTCATAATTAAATCTGAAGTATGGAAGAGATGATATTTTGTTGTTTCTGTGCTCCAGTGTAACTGAGTATGAGATTGAAAGACTACTAACATGGCAACTGTGAGAAATATTTACATGGTAATGTTACACAGCCCTCTTGTAGTGCCTTAAAATCACCCAGCCACATTACCTAAAACTACCTGCTACTGAGAAAATAAGGGCAGCTCATAATAATTGAAGTAGTGGTAATGATTGAATTGGCTCATCCTGTTCAATTTTAAAACAAAAGAAGAGGGAGTACTCCAAGCAATTACTTCATTTGTTATTTCAGTATTATAGTTCACAATTTCCCTCTTAACTCAGTAGTTCAAAAGCATGTGTGAGCTTCAGTTAACAAAGCAGATCAGCAGAGCTTCTACATTTGGGACATTGGCTATGGAACTTCTAGTTTAAATCTAACTCATATTTATTAGGGCAGAGGATGGGCAAGTTTTCAGAGATCTCAAGTCTACCGTGTAGACTTAGCTAGAGTGGACTTTAGGCCTGTCTATAACGTACAGTTCAGCTGGTGACCGTGGAAGTTTGGCTATTCTTGCAGGACCTATGCTTATTATCAACAGAGCTACAGGGAATAACAAATCCTCCTTGTGGCTGCACTGGCCCTGGGTTTGCCAGATGGGCCTTGGCCATGTAGAGGATCAGGTAATCCATCATTTCACTTCTCTTCAGTGCAGGAGAGAGAGGTTTTCATTTAACAGGGACGGAGTCTTGTCTTCCATGAAAGTTGTGGCAATTGCATCAGCTCACATACTGTGTAGCCATAGGGTGAGGGAAAGCAGAAACATAATATACTCAGTGGATTGTTTTTAAGATGGCAGTAAGTCCTCTCAGTTATGGAAAGCTGCCCCAAAGGAGCTGTAAGATTTTCCCCAGAGAAATGCAGGAGTACATACCGTCAGATTTTAGAACTAAAATACAAAAAGTAAAAAATTACAGCCAGGTGATCTCAAGTGACTGAAATGGCATTGTATACATCCATTTTACATTGCGCAGAATGACAGGGTATAGAAGAATGGCCATATTAGAGCATATCAAAGGTCCATTTGCACAGCATGCTGTCACCAGCCATGAACAGATACAGTAATGAGTGTATGTGTATATCTAAAGAATAAAAGGTAAGCGTATGCTGGTACTTCTCTACTTTCTCTAACTGCCTTCGTCTCAGGGGACTTTCTGAGTTGGCTGTGGCTTTGTACCTTCAGTGGTGGTGTGTCCATATCTGATGGACTTTTATTTTGCAAATTTTTCCAGTTTCCCTTGAAACCATGTAAAGTTCTTGTATCCACAGCACTGGACAGGAAGGAGATCTGTGGTCCTTGGCATGAGGAATTATTCCTTGTGTTTGTTTTTGACCTGGCTTCTCCAGCCTTTTTTTTGCACTCAGAGTGCAAGATGGGGCTAAACCAGAGGTTTATTTAGTGTTCCCTGTTTAATTCTTTCATTCTTTCCAAGTAACACTTTAATATCTAATTTGCATTTTTGAGAACTGCTAGGCATTAAACTGCCATTTTCACAGAACTGTTTATCATAAGGTCTTAACTCCTGAATGTCATACCATATTAACTTTGGACCCTGGGTTTTTTTCTGTGTGTTGAGTTAGGATTGTTTCTTCGTAACTGCATCATTTTATGTTTATCTATGTTTAACTTAATCCACTCATTCTTTTAAGATCTTTCTATAGCTGTAGTGGTTAAGGTGAAGGATACAAAATGTAATCTTAAAACCATTTTTAATTTGTGTTTGTCCTCTAACATAAAAGCAGCAATAATATTTTTTTTTTCTCAAATTTCATAAAATGTATGGGCTTGTGCCTTTAAACTTGCAATACAGCCTTGTAAAACTCCTGAATGGTGTTTTAATGCATGTGTGTAATGGACTTGTGTTGGTACACATCATGTATAAAACAAACATATGGTAACTTTGTGGCTTTTCTCCAGACTTCTCAGGTGGGTTTTGACCTTAGAACCCTTGGTGTTGTGACCTAAACAGTAGGGAAATCTAATTTACTTGAAGCACCCTTTCTGTTTGGGCAGGCATGTTTCTTTGAAAATACGGAGTCTGAGGCCTGACCTTGGCAATGTATGTTGGAACATGACAATGTTGCCACAAAGTGATAGTAGTTTAAAAACATCAGCTTCCTCTTGATTTTAATATTGCAAGCATT